CTAGTTATATTTTCTTTAGATCCTTTTGCTTGCCTACTTTTGCTAATAATGCGTCTAACTCCTTAACAAATAAGTGCATACTAGTGTTAGGAGGACGGTACAAACAACACAGAACCGCATTATAGTTAAAAGAGGTTGTCAAAATTCCCATCAAGTTTTCACTATGTTGCATTTTATGATAATTGATTTGAAATTTGTGATCATTTTTAACATAAATTATTATACCCCCGCCTCTCTTACCCTTCCGTAGCTCTGTGTACATTGTATAACCTTTTAATTGATATACATTACAAAGAGTGTCTGAGATGTTAACCTCTGTTAACATTATAACATCAATACTTCGAGTAGACGAGTAAATACACTGTTCAAGGCAAGCAAAGTTTTTGATAATAGATCTGATATTCACATGTATGCACAACAAAGCCAAGTTTCTTGGAACTCTTTTAAGGAACGTTATTAGGTCCGTACAGTTAGTTAATTGCAGAATATTATCTAGGTTACTATTCATTTAGGTAATTCAATAAACTCAATACACAAATGCTAAACTGTTCAAATACCTCACTGTGGGGTGTCGTTAGACGATACCCTGAGATTTTTAACGTCTTCTACGGATCTTATTATGATTGGCTTTTGCGATTCACCTTCTTTCCGTACACGGAGAACCCCTTGTTTGATCCAAATGTATTTGAAGACATTTTTCAGTTCTTGTTTCGTGTACCACAGCAGCTGTTTATTGAATGATGTTAGAGATTCACAAATTAATATATTTTCGTTAGAATTTGATGTTGGGGCACTGAGAATAATATCAGCTGGTACTATTTTGGTGGTCTTTGATTTAGCAGCAACAATCCAAGTGGCCTGGATTTGTTGATTCAGCAGTTCTACTATAACTGGACCAGGACGATCTTTTTTACCAGGGAGACGCTGTACATTTTTGATATCTTCCGTTTTTTGATTAAGTTTTTTTGCAATGTTATCTACGATTTCAATTACATTTTCATTTTCAGTCGATGGAAGATGGTGAATTTCAATAGAATGATTCAATTCCTTTTGTTCCATTACCTGTATACGCTGCTCCAGGGCCCCAATTCTCACCTCCAGGTTATTATTTCTATTTGTTAGATCTGTGTTTTTCTTTTGTAGATTATAAATGTTTTCCTGCATTATAGCCATTTTTTCCAGAAATTCGTCCATTTTATCTGAAGTATATTGAACAGAGTGTGTAATTTCTCTCAATTCACGTTTTACAGCTTTTTCCACCTCCTTAGATAAGTCACCAATCAGTTTTTTAACATCAAAGGGTAAGTTTGGTGTATCTTTTTCTTCTTCTGAATCTTCGTCTGGAATGACGATGGAACGACGTCTGGATGAATTTTGACATTCCTGGCAGGTCCACTCCAAATTTTCCGTTGCTCGTACGGCTGATAATTGTTTGGTACTAAGACCTGCACACTGAGTACTTAAATGTACAATTTTTTCACATCTATTGCACTCTAATCCAGGTTTCGATTTAGTTATATTTTTTTCACAAAACTCACATTTTGGCGGCATTTTGTGGGTCGACATTTTCAGCAAGTAATTTTGTGTCGCTCACTGTGTTTTGTCGTAATTTGAATAAGCAATATTGAAATCACTTATAAATAAATTTTTTTACCGGTTTTAAACAGTTATTATATAATATTACAAACTTTTATTGATAAAATTTAGTTGGAGCGAAAAAATATACGTCTTATTCGTGTAGTAAGCAGAGGGTAGATGAGGTTATATGTGCAAAAAATGAATTTTGATTCACTCTTTTAGCGATAGTGGCTTACACATTAAAAAATAGATATATAGTTCTAGTAGAACTCTTAAAGAGAAACATTTATACTATACATTATATCCATGTAATTTTTTTTTTGCAGTGCAGGCCAAACTAGCTCGCAGATGGGAGATTTTTTTCCGTCTTACGTGACGATTATTGTTATATTTTGACCAATTCACTTAATATCTTACTAATTAACTCTCATAAATTATTATCTTTATGCTATCATTATGTATGATCTATATTATTGTCAAGTTTCATTAAAATTCATTTAGTATTTTTTGAGTGAAAGAGTAACAAAGATCCATACAAACGTGAGATTGTAACCAAAGGCGCAAGTGGCTATTATACAATTTTAAATCTTTGTAGATCCTAAACAGTCACATAAAATGAAAAATGGTGTAAGAAACCTAACCCTGATTTTCGATTATCTAGGCAATGATACCCAACTCGACATATTTCGTCGACTTATTTTTTTTCTTCTCCCAATACGGCACGTTAGACATGGGCGTTTTTGGTTTTGAATGCAAACGGATATTTATCGGATTTCAGATTTCAAAATCGATTTTAAAATCCGTTTTTAGATATCCGATTTCAGATGTGCCGAACTAAGCCAATTCACTAGTTTGTGTTATGATTTGGTTTTATTAGCTAACGACAATCACAAACAATTATTGTAGGAAGCAAGGATACTCGTAGATTTCCTTCACGCTTTAAATCTAGGCTTAGGACTAGCAGAAAAGTTATGTTTACGGTTAAGAGTAAAACTTTTGCGGCGCATTTAAAAATCGGCTTATATACAATGATTTCTTTTTACATATTTTTTTAGTATTTTTTTTTGTTTGTTTTTATTATTTTGCAAACCATTTACAAAATTAAACCTTATTACTTCAGGTTAGCGTTGTAAAATGTAAGTTGCTCGACTTTTGATGTTCTTAGACGGCATCTCTTTTCAGTGATAAATAATCCCGCCTTAGAGAAGCGCAATAGATTTCCGTAAACAGCAAACCGAAAACGGACTTCCGAAAACGAAAGCACGAATCTCGAATCCGATTTACATTTGGATACTATGGTGGTATTAGATCGCTAGCGTTTTGATTCGGTTAGATTTCTGAAATCGGATTTTCTTGTTGAGAAATCGTTCGGTATCGATTTGTGATTCAAATCGGATTTTGGATTCGTTTTGATATATCGGACGCATGCCTACGGCACGTAATTGTCCCCATATTGAATTTCGATTACTATCATATTGTTACGTGTCGGGATGGGGTTCGAAATTATATGCCAGATCACACTTGACAGTACTTTATTCACCACACAGTTAACACACGATGTTAATCACAATACACTCAATAAACATTGTATTTCACTATACAAGGCTTTAAACAATCACACTTGAACACTTTTGTTGCACTTTGATCGCTTTTGTATTCGTTCCAAAATCCCTGTTAAAACTCTACTCAACCCTCTCCGCGCGGCATCAATCGCACTTATATATGTACGCCAATCGACGCATTCTAGAAACTACCCGTTAAATTGAAAGTTAACTAGCAACCGCGAGTGCGTAGTAGCCACTTATACCTACTAAGTAACGCGCATAAATTGTAAACAAGTGCAGACGTCGCGTCGTTGCACCTTCTCCCTTACGCCGCACTGCATATTAGAATGAGCCGCACCACTCGACCTTTATCGCGATCCGCGGTGTTCGGGTAAATTCGGTCTCTAGTATTTTCGCGGTTTTGTTTCGAAAGCATTTGTGACAATATCTTTAGTAGCACTTTCATGATTAAGACGAATCGATTGACGTATGAATTATCAAAGTCGGCGTAACTCTAGTGTGCCACAGGGGAACATACATACATATATAGACTGTTTGTCACTATACCCTGTCTGCGCGTCACGCTTCGCGCTCTTACATTGCGCAGTCGGTTAAAAAGAAAAAAAACAATGAACAAAATTGTTGTCAAAGCTATAAATTGGTTAAAATATCATTAGACAACGGGTGTAAGGAGTTCTTCCGTTAATTTGTAGTCCAATGATTTCAGAAAACGCGCAATAGCTATCTTGCATTTAGATTTTGTGAGCGAGTAAATATTTAATGATTCGTTTATTTTAATGTACAAGTAGTCGCCCAAAAACAGAAAAAAATGTGAGAGGTCGAAATCCTGATACTATGTGTGAAACATAAAGTGCCTTTTCTGCGCTTCTCTTTATTAAGCTTATGATTGTAATGTTATTGGAAGTGTTTTTTCAAAATAGTCTGAAGAATAACGGACTGTCCGACTGTGAGCACATCCCAATTTTTGTAAAGGTCGATTGTGGGGTGTATAAACGGCAAACCTGCTTCAACTTTCAGAATGAAACGCTGTACTATTTCCAGCTCGATTAGATGACCTTTGGAGACACCACCCCATGAATCCCAATATTAGCATTATATTTGAGTAAACATGTAAAAATTAAGTAAAAGGTGTGCAGAATGGATAAGCATACGGCAATGTGGTGTACATTTCCGTATGCTAATCTTGTACGTATCTCAATAACATAACGGTCGGCTACATGTTTAAGTGTTCTAAAAATGTACATCATTTTGCGCAATCTTACCTAGATGTATTGTAGACATAGGGTATCTATGTGTGGGTTGAAGGAAAGTGATTTATCGATAGTCACCCCTAGGTATCCTATGTTATTGGCTCTGGTGACAGACGGTAACTCTCTGAGGACAGCCCTTTCCTATCTTAAGCTTCTCCAAGTGGCCTCCTCAGCATTGGTATAAATAAAAATATGTCGTCAAATAGTTGGAATACATAAGACTTACATCATTACTTTTAAGGTGTAATATAAACTTTGAAATTGTTAACTTCTAGAATTGCATTAATTACATTGAGAGTTACAGCTATAGCTACTTCTTCTTTTTCATCCAATCCAGTACAGAAGGGCAAATAGTTTGAAGCACCACTACCTGGTTTTATGCGTACTATGAGTAGGTAACAGTCTTCAGAATTAACCATGAACCAACTGTTTTTCAAATAAGAGATTCCCGTAGCTGATGCAGTGACAACGAATGAAACAATTGAAACAATTTACATTACCATCTTAGGACTCAACATCGCTTTCCACCAGGCGAGATTGTGGTCAAACGGCTTGCCTCTTAAGCATTATAAAAACATTTATACGAGGTAATTAATACAATGATGCGCGAAGAAAAAGTTTTAATGTCATGGTTTTTAAGGATATTTAGCAAAATAAAAGATTCAAAAAGAATTAATGTGGTCATCACTTTGAAATATATATTGCAAATAAATTACCAATCGTTATTTATTTATTTATTTGATCACAAACATAATAAACATTGACACAACAATCTAGCAGGTAATGATAAAATACTTAAGCTTAATGTTATTACAATTATAGGTAAAGACCACATGCGTTATGGAATACAAGCAAGAAATGCTGGGAAACTGTCGATGAAAAAGCCATTAAAAGCTTTCTTAGATTTAAAAAAGAAATACATATAATCAACACTGTCCCGGTTAAAATCAAAGCATTAAAGAAGAGTTATAATCGAATAAAGTCAACATATATATATAATAAAAAAAAACGAAATTAATTAGTCACAATAAATTACAGATAAAATTAATTTATAGAAATAATAACACAATTAAAATCAAATTACAATAAAATTAATTAAAAGGAGATGTCACATTAGTTTATTTTTAAAGTTGCGAATGTCACCCTTGAATAAGTCCAAATCGTTGTTCTTGCTCATGCTATTCTTTTGCTATTTATAAAGATGCTTTTGTTCCATTATTATTATTAATAATGGATTCTTCGTTTATAACTTGATGAATAGCATTCAGAAGAGTGAATTTTCCTCCACCGCATACGTTGTTAAAATCATCATACTCCACACTCCAAGCCATAACACCAGCTAAGTTGTGCTTATTGGCAAATGCCACTTTTGCTTTTATGGATTGGTAATCGTCGTAAGACATCCAGTTCTCCCCCTTAGTAGCGTAGGGCACACCCGCGAGCTCATCCCTTTTGATCAACCAGTTTTCCGTTCGAATTAGGTTGCATAGCTGTAAATAAAAAACAGTATAAATTGTGATTTTTTTAAATATTTTTGAGGCTCAATTTAAATTTCCGATAGAATAACTAAAATAATTGTAAGTTACTCAAGTAGTAGATACTTATTTACCGAGATTCTGAAAAAACGACGAATACTGAGACTCGTTGGTTGGTAATGAAATCAATGGCCTCTGAAATGGCGAAACTGATAACCAATGAGGACGTGTTATTGAAAGTGATAAACATACCTCAAAATATGCAATAGCACCGGGGATTTGCGTGTGAGGACCCATGATACCAGGTCCAGTGGCAGGAGCATTTACACCGTTGATCCTGGCGTATCTTAATTTGTATGTATGACCAAAGAAAGGTAATCCGAGAACTAGTTTTTCCGGAGGGCAACCTATATACATTATTTATCATTAAATTTTGTATCGGTAACTCATAGACCCAAATGCTTGATTTAGAAATGGTTTCATAAAATTGATAAATCGAGTTATAAAATTGCTTTGCTTGATTTACAACATAAGTGAAATCTGTAATACTAAAGGGCTTTCAAAACTTTTGATAATGTTTCTGAATATGTTATAAATTTAACATCATCACCTTTGCTTAACCAGTATTCCACAGCCGCCTCGTCAGTGAGTAAATCTTCTTTTGCAACATTTTGCTCTCCTTCTCCTTTATGAAGAGCGGCATTGTGATTAGTGAACGGATCCCAAGGACCGTGCAAGTCATGTGCCATCAAATTTACTAAGTGTACGTATCTAAGGAATAAATAAATTTTGTAATATTAGTAGAGTCGGTACCATCAACCCTGATCGTCCCGCCCCGTTAACGGGACAACTGGTAAAATATGTTCCATCGACCCCGGTAGCCCAGACCCGCTTCAACAAGAACCATTATCAAGGAGCGCTCCAATTTCTACCTTTTTTGTCTCGGAAATTCCTTACGCATCCTTTAACCACTGGGGGAGCGAGGAGAAGGTATGTGAGACTCCTCTCTGTTCACTTTAACCAGCCAGCTGTTCGACTGCCCGCACACCCGCAAGGTGATTGTCCGTTTCCGGACTCCCCCCTCCAATTTCTACCTTCACTCTACCTCTCTTGCGGAATCAGGCTGCGTTGCCTCCAGAGCTGTACGAGGACGCTTAGCAAGGAATGTGTTTGTAATAAACCAATACAACTCCTAACGCGGCGGTTAGCATAAGCATAAGCCATAGCTTATGATACTTAATATATACGACAGACAGAGACAGATACAACGGGGTCGGGACTACCGGGGTCGATGGAACATTTTTTCCCAACTGTCCCGTTAACGGGGCGGGACGACCGCGGTGGACCATCCACCCATATTACGTAGACCCGAACCTTAACTTAACGATAAAATTTATGTTACTAATCACCAAAATTATAAATAAATAATGCTTAATATGGCCTGATTATGTCAGGCCGAAAAATTTGTTAATGTGTGATGTTAACACTATTTCCACTGTTACATTTTTAAACATATTGTGTTTGTAATAAACGGTTTTTTTTTTTAACTTACTGCGCCAATGCTGCCACATTATACGATTTTGATGCCACTTTTGGGGCTGCAGATACAGCAATTGTTAATAACAGGCCACGCTGATCAAAATATACTCTCATTTCCTTCAGAAGTGCAGAAAAGTTGTCTACATCAGCTTGATGGTTGGGTGAGTCTCGTTGATTGGGATACAACCAACTGACATCAAGACCATTAAATCCATGCTTATTAATCGTTACGATAGCACTCTCGATGAAGTTTTTTCGTAGTGCCGGACTAGCTGCCATCTAAAAATACAATATTTAGTATGTATATATAAATTTCTCATCAAGCGTATTAACACAGTTTATTATGTTACGTGTCTGTACACCTATATCAGAAGTACAGCGCTGAATTGTAATTCTACGAGTTTGATAATGACTTCACGCTTTGCAAAAACTGGATATCTGATGTCTCGGTTTGATCGCTGAGTTTGTACCACATGATGGTAAGTGGTTACTGCCACTCATGGACACTTGCAGCACTAAGGATAACAGCCGTGCGTTGCCGGCTCTGAAGAAAACGGATTTATTCGCCTTTTGAAGACCGTCATATGATAGTTAACGCATGGTGCTAGAACGCCAAGCGTCCAGATGTTGGGGGTGAAACTCCTCTCTGCGGCGTGTTTTGTGTATGACTCTCGCTGAGTTTATTACTTTTTCTATAAAATTCTAATGATGATGCAGATGATTAAGTATATAAGTTAATCTCACCCTAGAGAATTTAGCTGATCCTTCATTAAAACCTCCAACGGCCAAAAGGGTTTTCAATTCAGTGTTCTTCTTTTTCAATTCATTAAATTGTCTATAGTTATCTGAAATATATTAAACATAATTAGTTGGTCTCAAATCGACAAGATTTATTAACTCAGTTGGATAAAAAATATCAGTCAAGTAAAAATTACAATAAAGACGGGTTTTCAGATTTTTTAAATTTACCTTTTATTACTTGTAGAAATTAAAATTTCCAGAGCTCTATTGGGAAAAGAAATAGGATTCAGGCTGGCAAAGTGAGATTGACCGGTGTGGTGGGGCACATTAAGTCTGATATGTTAGACTTATCTCAGAAATAACACCAGATAGCTGGACTTTGGATTTCGTATGAACTAACAGTATTATTTATAAAATCACCGAAGTCCATCTAAAAGAATCCTTCAAGTTCCCATATTTGTGTGCCAATCTTTTAAATGATGTAAATGTAGCGCTTAATCCTTGTTATGGTAAATGTAATTAGGTTTTAAAACTTAGCGAAACGATTACGAGAGATGTGGACTGACGAGTTGCACTTGCACAAAGTATGTACCATAATGTGTGGGATCTATCCTTAGAAACATTTATTATGAGTTTAGGAGAATATATGAATTATGGATTAAGTGAATGCAACACATTGTTTGATATAAGAGATCTCACCTGCACCATTGTCTTCAGCCAAGTCTAGCTTTGGATCAATTGATACGACCATCCCCTGCGCATTTATACCAGAAAATGCGTATACCAGATGTGTGCAGAGGTGTGGGTCTAAATTGTTTACGGTGAACCTGCCCTGACCTGTCCTGTGTGCCGCCCAGGATCCGTAGAAGCAAACCACGGTCTCTGCCAAAAAATATGCTGACATATACCGGATCTCGTTAAATACAAAGAGCAAGGTTTATTAATAAAATAAAATTCAATCATTGGATAGATTAGTAAACATTACGTTTCTAATAAAACCGAAGTGGAAAGTCATCATCATTATCATCAGCCTAATATTGTCCCGACTGTTGGGGCATAACTGCGGATGGAATTGGGAGAGTGGGTCATAACCCGCCACGCGTGATTTAGCAGCAACAATAGTAGTAACTACTGCAGGTGCAGAAGCAGAAGCCAACGGCTGAACTGCCTCTTCAAGGACTGAAGAACCTTCTTCTCGCTCCCTCGATGGATGAAGGATGCGTAAGGCATTTCCCAGACGAAAAAAAGGCTCCACAGGGTAGGGTTAGGGTAGTAAATGGCTCGAATGATATTTTTGGTATCCCAAACGTCTATAGGCTATGATTATCGATTATCATCAGGCGAGCTATATTTTTGTTTGCCAACCTTTTACCATAAAAAAATATTATTTATTTCAAAATCTAGATCTAAATCTTATTAAACAGAAGCATTTGTGCAGGCCGGCAAGTTGAGGATGGCTGGCGTGGCAGTTCATAACTGCTGCATCAGCTATCTTCGCGTTTGGTCTTTACCACGTCTTAATATCAGGAAGGGTATAATTATTTGCCTACTCAAATAAAATATAAAATCAACACAGTCAGTAGCTTAAATTAGTGAAACATTGGCAATTATCCTTTTAATATAACCAAAAAATGTGGAGAATACATATAAGACAGATGATAAAGCTTTATTTTCTTACTTTTCGTGTGAACGACGCTCAAGGCGCATAACAACGCCACTAATAGCACACCTTTCATGTTGCAAGTGAATTTCAGAATATACAGCTCACTGACGTTTAACAACAGTATTGAATCCAAATAAACTTATTTATATAGGTAATTTTTATCGCAGAAATCTTTATGTAAGATTATGAAAATAATCAATGCATTTTTTCGTCATTAGAGATAATGATGCGAATAGTGATAGAGACTTTAATCAGTGCATTCGTCAAAATTAATGATATATAATTATTTTGTTATAATTTTTATTTTTTAATCATGCTTGATGTTTAAATCTAAAGAAAATATAACTAAAAAAAAATTGTATTGTTGTTATTCAAATTTTCTATATCGATTTCCTGTATAAAATAAAACAACCAACATTTTGTTTATTTATTTATTTAAAGAAAACATACAGCCTCATTATAATACATTTGAGTACAAAATATTTGATTTATGCATAAATTTCTATAATATGTATTATAATAAATCTATCAAATGTTAGTTTCTGGATCTCAAAATCATAGGTCCAATGTTGCAAACACTGCACACTGTTACGAACACTGGCGTGAACTATTATTAAAAACATAACTTTTTAAATAAACTTAACGTTACAAATGTAAAATAATTATGTATACGCAATAACCCACTAAAAACCCAACAGTGCTTCCTCACCTGCTGGAGCGGGTTTCGTGGGATCCTGACACTGTCCACGTTATCCCCGTCAGGGGTTCCTCCTCCTCTTTGTGGTCAGGGAGATGCATAGAAGCACCGGGTCATCCTCCCTCGGCGGGTGAGATTGTGCAATACGGATGGTAGATCACCCTGTGTGCCATCCGCTAGTCTTCTTCTACCCTGCCGTCGCGGGCCACCTACCAAGAAAACCACCTGCCATCAGATCTACCCACCTATCTTCATATATCATCAACCTATCCCTCCTTTCATCCGCTGTCCTGCTACCACCGTACTTCCCGTCCCTTAGCTAAACAACTCCCAATTCCACTAAAGGTGACGATATACTATAAAAGAAATTAAATTTAATAAAACAATTTAAATGAAATTAGATATTCAAGGATATATCCATTTTTTTCAATAATGGGTCCCGACTGTTAAAGTAGCTTTGTTCCTTACTAACAGAATTGTAGACTACTGGACTTGTTTTTTTCTTTTCGGTTTTTATTTGAAGTAATATATAAGCGCCGCACTGGGCTCGCGAGGTGGGTTTCAGCTAGAGTTGCCAGTCCGGATAAAGCTGGACATAATAAGACTTTTTGATTGCGTGTCTGGCTTTTTACATTTCGCAATCGAGCGAGCGCCGAGCGTGGCCGACAGCAAGCGAGTTGACTGTCGGTCGCTTTGATATAGATTTTTTTGTCGTAACTAAAGTTACTAAGCCACAAAATCCTCAATAATGTAAGGTGACCGGCCTTTTTACCCAAATGTCCGGCCAAACCGACTGGTCTGTCCAGCTATTGGGTTTGGTGACCTGGCAACCTTAGTCATAGCCCAATCTCCCTATTCCAACCATAAGAAAGGTCTGTCACATCAATTCTATAATTATTTTTGTGTTTACTATTGTAAGGACAAGGTTTGTACAAATCAAACTTGGAAAATGTTTAAAAAATTGTGTGCGTCAGCACGACTGGAATTTACTTCTTAAGTTCGATAGTCTAACCAGAAGCAAAAAGAGTTTATTTAACTTAAAAAAGATTGATACTGTATGAAAGGGTAAATTAACAAATTAATGAAAATAATATACATATACATTTATTCATTTCATATACATTTATTATAACTAATCGACGAAATATTTTACATTAAACTTTTTACAATAGTCAATTTCAGATGTGCATAAATAAAGGTACGCTACGATACTGTGCTACGGTGTAGCACTACGGCTGCTACAGCGTAGACAGTAAAAACGTAACGAGGTCATTCATCGATAGATTTCACTCATCACATTTTTCTCATACCGGGCCCCTTATATATGCAAATCGATTCTTAACCACTATGGGAACTTTGACTCATTTTCATCTCAAAAATCTATAACTTCTGTGTTAATAAAGATAACATCATGATTTTTTTTCTGTTAATTTTGAATATATTTGCTTTTAAATAGTGTATAATTTATGTATAAAATTTTATTTATAATACTTACAAAAAAAATAGGAAAACAAAAAATATACGATTTTTAGACTTACATCTATGTTTTAATAAGTTTATAAAGGTAACTAGTAAATGTAACTGTTTAAAATTAAAAAAAAAAACATTATAGTAGCTCATATGTCACTTAAGAGCTACTTTTCTTCATCAAAAAGTTCTAAATATTTTTTATTATAAGGTTTTCTCAAACTTGTAATGTACGGATCAGAAGTATACAATAGTGTGTAGAACATCTTCGTTGGTGGCTGTCCTCGAATATTTTCTTGCATGATGAAGCCTGAACTATTTGTAGTTTTTGTTCCGTGACTCTTGAGCTTCTTCTTAAAGTTGCCTAAGAGGTAATACCGAAAAATGACGTATGACACTTTCACCATGAATCAAAACCTTTTGCACGGAAGATGGCATATAGTACAATTTATATTTATTAACATACAGTTGTGCTCAATCAAATCCCATCTCCAATTTCTGTTTTGGCTTAAGAACTGTTCTTTCTATCAACCAGCTTTAATACAGCGTTGACGAAACTGAGTAATGAAAGACTTCTGAATACTTGCGATAATTTTAGTAACATTTGCATCTGAAGATTCGGTGAAATTGTTTTGTATATAGTTAGAGATGGAAACACCATAATTTGTGTCATTTTCAAACAATAACAGACTTAGGTTGCGTCTGGTACACGAGAACTGACTCATTGCGGCAAGATATTTAATAAACAATTATTTACGACAAAAACTAACGAAGAACTGTAATATTTCATACTCAAAAGTACTATTTTATACTAACAAATTATGGAAGACGTGTGAAAAATTAGTAGATATAAACTTTTTTTCAATTTTGCGGTTTGAGATTTTTCCATGATTCTTATGGGAATGGGATCTAAATATTATGGGAAATAGGGGAGACCGGGGCAAGATGGGATACTTAAGAGAAAAAACGTCATAATATGAAAATCAAACTGTTTATTATAAATTTCTTAGAAGTAAAGCAACACTCATAATCTTAATCAACATAATTATACTGTTTTATGATTCTAAATCACATATTTTTTTGGAAATAAGGAACTAAATGACACATGCAAAATATCTCGTCTTGCCCCATGATCGGGGCAAAATGGGAAACGCTATGGGGCATAATGAGTACACATTTTAATCGGGTCGGCAACGTTCACATGTATGTGCATCTTCATCCTCATCGTCTACACCTGCGCAAGAATTATGGCTCCAGCCTTTGCACTCTCTACAAATAACCCATCCTTCATTGGATTGTGAATATAAGTACCCACAATATATACAAGGACAATCATTTTCATATTCTTCAGATGAACTAGTGTCCCTTTTTTCTTTGCGTCTTTTAATTTTATTCTTTTTTTCCGGGTTCTTTTTTGCTGGTCTTTTCTTTTCAGTCTTTTTATAGTCAAGTTTCTTTTTTTTAGGTTTCTTTTTGTCAGTCATCTTATATTTATTTTTCGTTTTTTATATATATCTGTAATGAGATCATTCTTATATGGAGAAGCTGTATTGCAGTTTTCCTCGTTTTCTTGTTTTTCGCTGTTTGGTTCCTAATTCCTTGGGTATAGCTATGATATTTTCTGGGATCACGCTGAACGAAGATTTTGCTGGCTGTGTTTGTCTCTCAGCAGAAATATCTTTTTGTGCTGGAATGGATGGTTCATTTTTTTTTCTTCCGATATAGCTGGCGTTGAAACTGTGGGCCGAAATGTCGATTCTATATTTAGATTTTCAGATAGAGTCTCCATGATTGCTATTCTAGGAGATGTAGGTTAAATAAAAGTAATCTCATTATGAGCTGAAGTTGACGATATTCGTTGGGTTAATTGCCTCTAAAGGAGTTGATCTGTTATAATTTTACGTCTGTTATACGTTTATAATTTCGTACCATTTTAACTGCAAACAAAAAATAAACTTATTATTGTATAATAATGAAACACTCTTTTACTAACATATATGGGGCAAAACGGAATACTATGTCATTATGCCCCGACCTTTTTGCCCCAACAGACTCATTTTGTAAAAGTAATAACAGTTCTAACCTACAAAAATATTAAGCAAAAAGGCAACTTTAAAATTCGTTAATTTTACACTACTGCAACTAGTATGCGGTAAAATAATACAATAGTACTGATGCCTGCCTTGGTGCACATCGATTCAAAACATAAACCTTCGTAAAAATCCTCCCAAAAACTGTATTTAAAACCACGCAGCCAAAACACGCAGTGACATATACGCACTCGCCGGTCTTATGCGACGCGACTGAACATCGAGCGAATGGCGCTGTATTAAACTTTCAGTTCACCAGTCCCACACAAAAGCACACTTCCCGTCCTGCCCCGAGCTTCGTCTTGCCCCGGTCTCCCCTACACGATATTATTATAGCATAAGATAAAAAAAATATAGCAAAAGGGCCAAGAGCTTTTATTGAAATGCCCGTGCTGAGAAACCCGAAATCAGAAAAGTCTTATTAAACGTACTTAAAAATATATGTTTTCACACGCTGATATTCTAAGAGATTTGACAATGTTATGCACTGAACAGCCAAATAAAATTTTGTTGTTTGTTTGAAAAAACGTCAAATTATATTATATTATCTAAGACATAACACAAAAAGCAGAACTTTGGCAAGCTTCGGCAAATGTCAAAACTCCAACTGAAAGTTTAAAAAACGAAAATAGTCCACATTATGATATAGTTTTTTTTTAATTAAATAATATTAAGAAAACTGTATATATTTTAATTTTATAGTAAAGAAAACATTCTAAGCTTTCTAAAATGGTATGTATCACACTTATATGACTTCTTTTGTAATGATACTATAAAATTATACCAAACTAACTGAAATCATTTTTTTTTCATTCCCTGACTTTAGATGTTCTTCTTTATAAAATACGAAGAGTCAGAGACATATATTATATTGATTTTATTAAAGTAACTCTTTAGCTAAATTTTGATGTTCAATACATGCCTCGAATCATAGTTACGAAAAATTTTT